ATATTGAGGGGGAGTGAGAAATTCGGAGGCGGAGATCCTGGAGGAGAAAACGACATGCCCCTCGAGAACACGCTTTCTAGAGAGGAGGAATTGAGTAGGGGATACGATCAACAGGAAGGCTGATTTGATCGAAGGAAGGAAGAATTTCAAGTCGCCGAGGTGCTGAAATTGAAAGAAATCCACAGCGTCGAGGTGTTGAATTTTTGAAGGGGGAAGGGAAGAAAATTCATCGCCGAGGTGCTGAATTCGAAAGGATTCTAGCGTCGAGGGACCTGTTTTTGAAGGAAGAAGGGAGGAACGTCATCGTCGAGGTGCTGAATTTTGAAGGAATTCAGCTGTCCGAGGTGAGTTTCGAAGGAAGAAGAGGTGAAGTATGAAGAGTGATTCCGAATATAATCGTCGGAGGGATGAATCGGGACAACTTGGGGGACTCTCGCCTTTGAGAATGGGAGGTTATGGACGGGTACCGGAGAAACGGAGGAGACCTACAGGTGAGGAAGCTGAAAATGCCCGTCTTTGAGGGCGAAGAACGGCCATTGGGTGGATCTACAAAGTGGAGCGTTACTTTGCCTGTCAAGGGTTTGATAGAGTATAGAAAAATTGACAGTGGCGGGTCCTGTGTCTGGAAAGGGAAAGCTTTGGCATGGTATCAGTGGCGTGGACAAAGAGGGAGCCCATCCGGAGCTAAAGAGAGATTCAATGATTGCTTATTAGAGCGTTTCTGAAGCCTACGGGGAAGGAGACTTTATGAGCAATTCTTTGCCTTGAGACTTAAGAAGGGACTGTGGCAGATTTATCGGGATCGATTTGAGTCGTTGGCTAGCAGATTTGGATAACATTTCAGAGATCAGCCTTAGAAGGGAACTTCATGAAGGGGCTGAAACCAGAGATCCGAACAGCAGTCAGGGTACTGGAGCCGAGGAAACCTGGGAAAGGCTTATGGAGCTACGGCAGTTGGTAGAAGATCAGAAGAAAACATAAAGAGGGGGCGCTCGAGAAATCGCTCAAGAGGCTCTTACAGGACGACGACCACTCTTCTAGCACCCAAGGGACCTGCATCAGGCAACAGTAATGAGACAACCCGGGAGAAGCAGTAGGAGGAGGGAGTCGGGGAATTTCAAGAGGCTGACAGTTAAGGAGATGCAGGATAAGAGGACAAAGGGATTCTGCTTCTAGATGTGATGAGAAGTACATGCCGAAGGGCATAGGTGCAAGGAATCGAACTCTTCAGGTTTCCTTGTCTGTGAAGACGAGAAGAGGAGGTGGGAGCAGATCTGGATATGAGGAAAATTTGCACCTTGGATGTGGCAAGAAGTATCTCTGAACTCTGTAGTGGGATTCACTCTGGTCACACTATGAAAGTGAAAGGAGAGATAGCTGACCGTGAGGTGGTGGTGCTAATTGATAGTGGGTTACCCACAATTTCATTTCACTCAGGTCGTCAACCCAACTGGAGTGAAATTGGTGGACACCGGTTGTTATGGGGTGATGATGGGTACAGGAAAGGTGAGAAAGGCCAAAGAATTTGTAAAGGAGTGATGTTGACCATCCTAGGGGATTCAAGTAAGGGAGGGCTTTCTCCCACTAGGTTAGGAAGCACTGATGTCATCACTGGGTGATGAAGTGGTTGCAAACCTTGGGGGAAACCAAGGACTATTGGGGAGCACTCACGATGGAATTAATGGTGGATGAGAGAAGGGTAGTCATAAAGGGATATGCAGGGCTATCCAAAGTCATCACAACACTTAGACCATGGTTAGAGGACGTACAAGAGGTGGGGGAAGATAATCTCTAGTGGAACTACACAGACTGGATGCAATCAGATTGGAAGAGGGGGAGGGGATGTTCCCTGTCCGTGCAGCCCTTGATTTAAGCAATACAGTAAGGAGCTTTCAGTCACCTCAAGGACGGCCACACTCCACCGGAACACAAGCATATCTCACCTTGAGGACAAGGTGGATTTTCAGGAGGGGGGTGATTGTTAGACCGACTCACGTGGACCGGGTTCCAGCCTGGTCCGGCAGCGGGAACCAGCAGAGGTGTCGAACAAGGCGGGATCTCCCGCTCCTGCGGAGATCAGGGCAGGCCGACACGCTCAGACATAGCGTTTTTAGGAAGGATTTTTGGGGGGTTTCAGAGAGAAATTTGAATGTAGGGACTGTTTAGGGAATTCCTTTTGATTTGTATGCATTAAATAGATGTTTTTTCTAGGGTTTGAGTATCTTGAATTTGGCTGAAATTTGAGATCTCTTAGATTTAGGTTTTCTTTGGGCTCTAGCGGCGTCTAGAGATTTGGGAGAGATCGATCCTCCTCTCGAATTGAGGATCAAATTGTATCTTTGCTGTTTTATTCATCTACTAGTGAAATACAAGGGTTTTGTTTGGTTTTTTCTCAGATTTCTTGTGTAAAACTCCTATTTTTCTCTGTTTGGGGGCTGTTTCCTGCTGTGGACAGCAATATCATCGCTGCAGTTTACTGATTTTGGCTAGGAACACTTGTGAATCCAAGTGTTTCCTATAAATTACATATGCTCCCTGTTATGAAGTATAAAGCTAGAAATAATTAGAAATATTCGGGTAGTCTGAATAGGCTACTTCTTACTCATCTAATTCTGATATCAATTTTTCAAAATGGGTATAGGTAAGAAGCATGTGAGTTCAAATTCTCCTTCTCTGTTACACTCTAGATTGACTGTATGGGGTCAAAATAGGGTTTGACACTAAATAATTCATAGATATAGTAAATTATTATTTTAAATAAATAGGAAATTAATTTATTAATATTGAATATACTAAATAATTTATAGATATGGTAAATTTTAATTTTAAATTTTTACACATATTCACATAAAGAAAAGAAATCGGTTAGATTAAAAGCATCTAAAATGAGTACACCAATTCATAAAGGAAATGAATAAAATGAGTTGGATCTTTGAGATTCATAACTACCTAAAGCCCGGTGATTTTTCAGCCCTTGTACCTATCTCTAAAATCTCAGTTTATGCAAAGGAGAACTAACGTCGATGGTATAGGAAACACTAAAGATGATTCGGTCAAAAATAGCATAATGCAATGACTTTGTAGTTGGCCATGGATCGTTTACTTAAAAAAATTACCACTATATGGTATTAGGCCAAATATTATTGAACAGATGTGACTTTTGGCTGAGTATGCATGTCAAGTACTGCAAGTAAAATATCGCTACTGGTGGATTCTTCTCGATCAACTTGTCTAGTTTAAATGGTTTCTTGCTGATATTTTTTGGAGACTCGTCAAAGATTATCTTTATGATTATTTCAGGTAACTCAGTAAGGCAACTTAATGGTTCAATACAATTTTCATAGATCTGATCATTTTAACTTAGGTAACTTGTCCTCTGTTTGATCAACAATATTCAATATTGACTTGATTGACTTTACTCACGTAAATACAGTTCTACACTACCTCAATTAAATCAATCAATTCAACCAATATAGCCAAAAAAATCAATCATACCTAAAGGCTCTACATTATTTGAAGGGATTGAATAAGAGGAAAAGTAAAGGAACTAGAAATGGAAAATAAATGGAATTTAAATTGCCATTGAGCTTTGTTCATTATAAAGAGAGAACAACTAAGTCACAGGGACGAACCAATAAACTATATTCCGATTTTTCACTAGGTTGAGTAAGACAATATCAATGAAAAAAAAAATCATTTTTTCACATAGTCTAGGTTAAATGTACTTAACTATTAATTAGATTAGAACCAAACATCAACTATGAAATTGTGAGCAAGCTGCATTAACATTCCCTTCAATTCCTTTAAACCAAGCACACCCTGAACGTTAGAGCTTGTAGATTTGACAAAATGGTTGGTTGATTATGGTTGGTGTTCAAAAAGATTCACCCCAACTCAATCATAAACCTACAAGAGCATAAATTGATATGTCATTTTGACAACTAATTCAAAGTTTAACATTTTGGCAAAATTTGGAGCTTCCACATGCAAGCGTCCAAAAAACTGCTTCTTCAATTATCAACCTAAAGAACTTAGGAATGAACCAAGCATTGGCTTAGAGGTTTATACCTCAGTTCCCAACCATGAGGTCATGGGTTCGATCCCTACTCATACTATTGTTTTGATCAATACATCTCATACTATTGCTTATCTCTTAGAAAAATATCAAGTGTGCATTTTTGTTTGGCTCTTGTGTCAAGCATTTGTCAAGTGACTCTTCGCAAAATCTTATAATTGGTCTTATGCCTCTTTATAAAATATATGGGATAAATTTCTATCCTTCAAATAAAAAAAAACCAAAAAACTTTGGAAGCCCTCAAAAATCTCTAAAGCACCATAAAACTACTATCAATAGATATTTTGATCAAGAAAAGCCTACAAGAGGGCTTTAAAAGAAAAACAAAAATAAAGAGTGGGAATTGAATAACATACATTGTCTTGGCTCTGCATGTCAAGCACATAATTTTCCAGTGTTCTCCAACAGCTATCACAGGAAAATTAGTTACAATTTTCTACCCGCAACAAAGTATCATCTAATGAGTATCATTGCTTTAAGCAAAGTTGTCCAAGATGTTATCCATCCATCAATACTATAACAATACGTACAAGGCTAAAGCCCATGAACCATAAAAACTTAAAAGTAATAGGAATTACTAGTTTTTGTACATAGATATGGTATGTCTAAGAATCTCATAAAACATAATATTGCATTAATTTAATTTTTCATCCAAAAGAAATTGACGTGCTAAAACCTGTTTTTAATCTTTTTTTATATCCCTGTTTAGTGCATCTTAAATTTTAGGTGGTGGAAAGTACTGGTGATTTGGGGGAGGAGCGGTCTGGAAAAAAATATGATCATTCCATCCCATAGACAATTTTATACAGGATGTTTAAGGAAAGTTGCAAGCTTTATGAACACTAGAACAACTTCAAACATAAAGCAAATGAACAAGTGCTAGTAAATAAGCGGAAAATATGTTCAGGGTAAGAGGGAAGATTACTCTTTCCAAGACCAAGCTGTCCACAGGAGTTATTCCCCCAGATGAAGAGTCTCCCATCCTCTAAAAAAACATGTAAAACAACATTACAAAGGTTAGGAAGTTCTTCTATCTTTTACCCAAATAAGAAAATAGTCGCTTTAAAGCTTTAGCATCTTTCCAAGCCATAGTGATAGATCTAAATTGATCCTCTTATTTGTAGAATGACTAAAATGAATTGGTTTTTTTTAGTTTCATTCTTGGTTGCATTTGGCTGACTAGGGTTGATTGGAACAAATTTGGATTTAGAAACACAAATAGATTTGATTTTCAATAAGATGGCTATGGTTAAATGTAGGTTCCAAATTAAATAAGATTGGTTTTGGGAAGAGTACAATAGGTAGATTGTGTTCAGATGTGGTTATGAAGGATAAGATTAATTAGAATAGAATAAGTATAGGTTTAAATTTAGAAAGTTTGATCTAATGTATTGGAGATAATTAATGAGGTTAAAATTAGCAAATCAATTAAGAAATCCTTAGGAAAGGATAAGGTCGTTAGAACTCAATTTAAATTATACTTATAAAAACGGAATTTAAATATAAAATTTAACTTAAATTTTATATTCAAATGACAGATGAAGGATTTATATTTGATGGAAGTAGTATAGGTTTGTGAGCAGATTGTGGAAGGGGAACGGGATTTTTTTTTTTTTTTCAACTTTAGAATGAATAGGGGCCTTTGCATTTTAAATGAAATGTATGATTATTAGAAATTTGTTATTAGTCGAGAAGGGTGAAACCATGAGAGACGGTTCATAGAATATATATATGGTTAAGAGGTGATTTTTGGCACAAAAAATAACAGAAAGATAAAAGAGAAACAACAAAAAACATCAATAAATGCATCAAATTCTTCATAAAATGCACGATGCTTTGATTCAGAATACCAAGCAAAAAAATGAGAATTGAGATTTGGGAAAAATGAGAATTGAGATTTGGGAGAAAAAATAGAACGAAAAAGAAAGATAATAAAATCCCTCAAGCAATAAATGATGATTCATCAAAAGATAGCGTCGAATATTGATGGCATGAAATCAATCCTGAAAACACAAAGGAGAGAATTATAAGGCATTCATAAGGGCTTGAAATCTCATTGAACCTAAACTCATAATAAATCATTCAATGTCATCTCAATGGCAAAACTCTAAGCACTATTTACATTTTACAATAATAGTTCTTTATTCCAAATAACAAAATTACAGATGATAAGCAAATAGGAAAAAAATCAAAATATTTCAAAAATAAAAAAAGATAAATTAACCAATAAAATTTTCCAGTTATTGAAATATAGAATAAAACACAAATGACAAAATTATTCAATGGCACTTAACAAAGTTGGAGGAACCAGAGAGTTTTTGTTGTATGATTATGCTGATGAGATCCATTCTCTGAGAATTACATTAGCGAAGAAGAAAAGATAAATGGAATTTCCATGTCTAGAATAAGAGATGAATAAAAAACTCCTCCCACGGGAAAAACATCATGAGGTGAGAGAAGAAGGAGAAGATATGGATTGATGGTTTGCTTGAGCACTAATAATCAACTTTGAAAAATTAAAGCGATCTTAGGCTAGAGGCCTTCATGCATAGCGATAGATTGATATAAAGTGATCCTTTTATTTGTAATGGTGACAGAAAGGAACTAATTTCCTTTTTTTCATTCAATTGGATAAGAAATGGGGACCTCAATGGATTTGATTTAGAATGAAATGAGTCAGATGACTAAGATAAGGTATAGAATTCAATTTCAATAAGGCCAGTTTTGTAGAGATCAAATAGATTAGGCAGAATATGGTTCGAGATGTTGCAAAGGATGAGGTTAATCAGAATAAGATTTGGATATCTCAATTTGGAAGATTTGTTGCTAGTTTGTAGGTGAAAATCAAGGGTGTTAAGGATAACTGGATAAGCATTCAATTGGAAAAATTTTAGGAAAGGATGAGTTGGTTTTTAACTCAAATTCAGATTCAAATATTAAAATCAAATTTTAAATCTAAATTCCAAATCTGAAATCTAATATAAATTTCAAAGTCAAATAAAAAAAGATATGCATATTTGATGGCATTGGTAGATTTTTGGGGATGAAGTTATGGAAGAGGATTGGATTTTTTTTATTTTTGAATGAATTGGAGGCATTTACTATTCATATGAGCGGAATTGAGATTATTCACCGGTTAACTGCAAAAAGAGAAAGCATGAAATCATAAGAAATAGTTTTTTGCTAAATGTGGCACCTAAAAGATGTTTGCCAGCATAGGAAATAGCAGAAAAAGTGTAATAAGACAACAAAAAAACCAATAAGTGCATCAAATTCTTCAGAGACAGCAGGCAGCTCTGATACCAAAATAGATGTAAGATAAACAGTGGAAATGTGAAAACATAGGGATTTAGAGAGGAGAAGGGAGGAATGGATGGGAAAAGAAAGATGTAGCGAATCCTCAATCTATTAATATTAATTCCTCCAAAATTTGAATTGACAAATCATTAAGACAAGGTGTTGAATCCTAAATGAATCCTGAAAGCACAAAAAGAAGCAATAAAAGGCAAGCATCTCATAGAACAATCGCTCAAAACATTTCATCATCACCATCTCAATTACATGATGTTATGCACTATCTATGCTAATAGTGCCATAATCAAAATAACTAATTTACCCTTAAACAAATAAGGAAAATAAAAAAATAATTCAATATGAAAAATGGCACATTAACCACTAACATTTAACTTGGATAGTGAAAGACAAAAAAGCATAACATATGACATGTAAAATGAGATAGACTTTTAGTTAACGAAACTAACAAATTTAGCCATCCTATGCTCCATCAATAGGTAGAAAAGAAAGAGAACAACAGAAATAAAAAATAGCTAGCATAGGGAAAGGAGATCAACATTTTTTAATATGATGAGAATTAGTCAAGTTTTTAAGTTGAGCATCACAAGAAAAGCTGACCTACCCATGCAACGTCCATGTAAATCATTCACATTTCCCCGCAGATTCAAACGGAAAAAAAAAAAGCATTATTCTCAAAAGAAAGCGAGAATCACTTATAGTTACTGAAGAGCGAGTTCTTTTAAGTAGCAACAAGTGTTAGCTTCCAATATAAAGTTTAGTCCAAGATATTCTAAATTATAAAATAACCTAGAACCTTCTACAGTTTTATAAACATTAAACTAATGAAGTTTAAACAAAAAGGAGAAATATTGTAAAAGCATGCTACTAATAAGAATAGTTACACATGTGCTTATGCCCACACCAGTGACAGCAGCAGAATGATGGTAACCAGCAGAGATCTGCACAACTTTTTCAGGCAACCCAGAAATCTGGAAAGGTTCCTGCAAGAAATGGATGTAGAAAAGGCACCTGTGAGAACTAGCTGATATAAGTTACATTGGTGCGACACAGAAGCTCAATTAGAATACCTAAATTCAAATAGACATGGATCGTATATAGAAGGACATTCAATAAAAGTAAGACCATTTCAACTTCCACTCAAAGTTTTTTCTTTTATTTTTCTTAGCCGAGAAGGAATTAAAATTGACAAAACGGTGTTCTCTTAGGATACAATTATAGACTGTTTAAACGTTTTTTCTGCTTCAGGTTGAGCAGACAGAACCGGTAAAAGTAATTTTTCTTATCTTTGTTTCCACGTAACAGAATAAGAATGTATATACTACTATCATAAAAACCGCTTGAGTTTATTCTCAAATAAAATTCTATCCTTTCATTTTAATTATTCAAATATAATCCTGCCTTTTGATTTTATATTATCTTATTATGATTATTTGATAATTTTAAAAATGATTAAATGTAATTACTTTTCATTTAAGCAAATAAATGAAGAAATCCTTTAAATTCCCTAATGCTTCTTAGTATTTCTTCATATTTAATCTAATGCTTCTTAGTATTTCTTCATATTCATTAAATACTCATTCCTATTCCACTCTCCATATACTCAATGTTTCCCATTCCTTTTTCTTCTAGTCTTAATTCATATTCATTAAATACCCATTCATACTCACCTCTTCATATCCCCTACACTTCTTATTCTCTTTAGCATATATACGTAGCAAGACATAAAATAAAAATAATAAAATCAATCGTTAAATAAAGACAATTAGCCATCAAAAGTGCTGCTTGCGAGCTGAATAAAGATATATGAATACAACAATAGGTATAAACTTGCATATATAAGTATGCTTATTAATTATGATATGCTTATCAACTATAATATAGATCAAGTTATTCAAGAAATTCCATAAGAAGTTGCAATTTTTCGTCGAGAGGATCAACATCATGACCTCATCATTTGAATTTATAAATTTCATCTCTTTTAATATTTTGTCTTATTTACTAAACCAAACATCATTAATCTCTATTTTGTTGTTTTTTTTACATATGATACGTTTCTTTTAATATAAATTATAAAATATTATTAATTCAAACTTGTAATTGAGATTTTATAAAAAGTATTTAATATTATTTTATTTTCAAATGAAATTTCTTAATACTTTGTAAACACATGCTTTAATATTGAACATAAAATTTTGAAAGTTTTTCTCAACAATTATAACAATTTAAACGAATATTTAATTGATTATATAAGCATTTAAATTGATCTTTCATATATATAAATTTTGAAAGTTTTTCTCTCATGCTTACAGTTCCAAAAAGTATATATATACTACCACTCCAGCCTTGCAGCTTGGTTGTTGCTTTGCTACTTGCTGCCATTGGCTGATGCTTGTCATGTGCTATTGTTGCTGTTTGTTCATTGCTTTTACTTTTTGTTTGCTATCTCAACAAGAAGCTATTTGATGTCCCAGCATGGAATATTGGAATCAATCCCAAAATAGTAAACCAAGAGGTCATTATCGCAAAATGAAAGCAGAGAAAAGCACTATACTGCTGTCCAGGGAAGTAGGAACAGAAAAACAAAAGGACAACTAGCTGGAACAGTAAGCATGAGAGAACAGCAAAATAAATTCATCTGCAGCATTAAACAACACTCAAGTTACCATTCAATAGCGAACCTCTAAAAAAATTCCTAAAATCCTTCTTAACCATTCTAATCTCTCATTGAAGGCTTATTCTATAATGTTGAGAGGATGGCCACAAATCAGCCATCATCTTGGACATTCAGAAGCCACAGCAGCTATCTGAAATTTTTCTACCAAGTTGCTCATATAATCATTTATTGAATTTATGGGCAAAGACTTCATTATCCTGATAATAGGCTATAGATTTTCCGAAAAAACGCTATAGATGGAAATCAAGATTAGCCATAAAATGTACATAATCTTGTAAATATGGCAGTTATAGCCATATATGTATGTATATGTATGTATGCCTGTATGTATCATCCTACTACTCCAAACATGCATATGCATGTATTGCAGCAGACCAAGATTACTTTTTGGCTATAACTGCATTGGTCACATGATTTAAGCCTAGAACACTTATAATAAAACAAATGCAAAAAAATGTAACAAAGATGTCCCTGTGTTCCAAGAAGATGGTGTTACAGTTTAAAAGTTCATGCGCTGCCAGTGGCCACAAAAACTTTATAATCAGCTCTACAAAATTTGAACCACAAATAAATAAGAAGGAAAGCAATCTCCAGTCATTGCAATGCTGTTACAAGGATGTGTAACTTGCTAAAGTCCAAGAATGCTTAGCACCGCCTTCACATCCCGTCTAAATTTATTCAAAAGTAAATAAAAACAATAACCAATATGCCAAAACGAACAGCAATGATCCTTCAAAAAGACCGGTTTCTCTACTGAATTTGGAAACGGATTTTAAAATTAAGAAGATAACTACACACACAACCATATCAAGATAAAGCATATACTAAAATAAGGAAAATAACCAGAAAGAAATCAAATGCATAAACATCTAAACTAAAAATGAATGCAATATGGTTAAAAAAAAAAAAAAGAAAACATGCACAGAAAGCTGTGCACGATAAAAATAAATAAATAATACATACTAGGATATGCGTCTTTGCAGATGTTGTTCCTAATTGTCCAAAGTTGTTCAAACCGGTAGCAAAAACCCGACCAGTTTCTATCAAGTAAAGAACATAAATGTCATAAAAAATAGCAGCAATATAAAAATAAGAAAAAAAAAAACCATCATTCAAACAAATATTAGCACTGATGGCAAGAGAAACAAAAGCTGATGAAAACTTTATAACCCGACTACTAGAAGACTTAATATGATCATAATCATCACCATGAATCTTTTCCCAACTATTTGGGATCGGTATTATAAATCACTCTTGACAATTGATTTTTATTAAGAATTGCATGTGGTGTAATTTTCTCCCCTTCTTCAACAATAACAGTTATAATAAATGATAGTCAGGTGTGGCACAAATAAGAATCTTAAGATGGATATATAGTAAAACTTGAAAGAATATTACGATAAATGATTGTACTAAAGAACAAATGAATGTAACACCTGCTGGAGATATAGTGATAAAATATACAATAAGTGATTGGGCACATCTCAAAAAATGAACCAATAAGAGAGATAAATACATTAATGAGAAGAAATGGAAAGAGAAGCAAAGGTGGTGTTGGCTATAAACTATAGTTACATAAATTAGATATAAGATCTCATAGACCTCACAAGAATGAATGGAGAAAGACTAAGCAGATAAATGAACTCAAATAATTTGGATAAGACGGCCCATGATCATAACCATTGAATTGTTTTCCACAATCACAATCACAATAACAATTTGATGCAATGCGAGATGCTTAGTTTCAATTATCAGAATTGAGGATCGTTTCTATCAAAATAATCATGTTTAGTTTATCATTTTTTCTTATTTATTACTTATTAATTAAGAAGGGTGAAATGATCATTTATCATTTTGAATATGTTTGATATATTTTTAATTTTAGGGGGTCAAAAAGTTTGTAAATTTATGATGGAATAAAAAATAGTTTTTAGCATCACTTCTAAGGATTGATTCCTCCTTTAGGTTCTTCATGGTTTATTTCTTTTTACCTCCCATCTCTCTTCCTTTGAGGCATTCATTCTTTTAATTTCTCCATCACTTTCTTCACTTTATGATGGGGACATTGAATCTTGGAAAGTTTATTAGAGGCGTAGCCGCCAATCTAAGGCCACAATGGCGCTGATCTATTTTTTTAGTCTTTATATATATTTGTTTTATTTACATTTCCAATTTTGCCCTTACTTAAGGGCTTTGTCATGTGTAAGCCCTAGGGGCAATGTTGTCATTTATTTCCCTTTCTTTGTTGGAGGCTATTTATAAGCCCCTCGTGTTTATTTTGAGGGGATGAATGATTATTACTGAAATTCCAGATTTTGTGTCTCTTGGTGAGTTTGTGAGTTTTGGAGAAGAGCCTAGGAGAGGCTAAACGAATTACCCAACAACCACCCTCAGGTGAGTTCTTGGTTCTCTAACCTATTTCCCCTTCTTCTCTCCCTTTTACCTGTTGGCCAAAGACCACCACCAAGCCCCCCCCTCGATCCTCCTCTTGAATTGAGGATCAATTGTATCTTTGTTGTTTTCTTCTTTTTCTAGTGAAATACAAGCTTCTACTTGTGTTTTTCTCTACGTTTTCCCTGTTTCATGCTGTTTTTTCTGCTGTAAACAGCAGATTTATGCTATTTTCCTGCTGCGGACAGCAGTTTTGCTGTTAAATGTTCGCTGATTTTGGTTAGGTTACTTGCGAACGCAAGTGTTTCCTATCAACCCCCCATCCCCCAACTGAACCATCCCTCCTCACCTGCCGGCCTCCTCCCTCCACATTCAACCACCGGCCGGCCCACCCTAGCCCTTCCCTCTCTTTTTCCTTATTTCGTAATGTAGATTGAATATAATTGGGATTAATTTTGAATTCAAATCCAAGTGATTTGAAATTCAAAATCTTTCCTAAAATACAAAATCTATTTTAGGAAAGCCTTCAAATCTCATCTAAATCAATTTTTTAATTGAATTGGGTTTAATTGCTCTTCCCTAATTTAAGTTTCCCAATTAAGCAAGCAATAAACACTTGCTTTAAGCCCCACCCCCTTTCTCTATGTTGTCGGCCCCCATATAATTTCTCATTGGATTTATTTCCTAAAACCAATCTCTGCTCTTGGAAATAATTCAAAACTCCTCTCCCTCTCTCTTGGCCGAAATCCCCATGCCCCCATCTATTTAATTTCTTTCCAAAAGAGAGTCTCTCCTATTGTAATTAAATTAAACCCTCTCTCCCTCTTTCTTGCCAGCCGCCCCTCTCTCTTCTCCTTCATTAATTCCTTTCAATCAATGCCTCAAGGGGATTAATTAAGGAGTTGTTTGAACAAAATTCCCTCCACAAAATCTGAACCAAAAGTCTTCCCGTAGCCTCCTTCATTGGCCGGCCACCCCCTCCTCCTTCTCCACTTCAACTTTTAGAGAAACTTCTTTCTCTCTAGTAGAGTCTTCAAGGGAGCAACAACGATCTTCGTCCACACATCAACCTTTCGAAACCAATGAATGGCCCACCCGGAACTTGATTGCGGATTCTCTTACGACGAGCAAGGGAACGTCAACATCCTCCACTCCACCTTCTTTGATTTCATCCCGAAAGTCGATAATTCCATTGAAGAGTACGTGGACCGCATCATCTTCACACTTTCGGAAGCCATCGACGAACAACTTGCCAACGTCCAATGGCAAATTGTTTCTAGACAACCACAAGGGTGAACTTCTTCCCCTTTTCACTTATTTTCCTAATCCGCTCATCTTATAGGTGGTGATCAATTAGCAAGGAATCGTGCCTGCCTCGCCCTCTGCCTCCGATTAGTAAACGTAGGATTTGAGCGTACTTTATATGTTGCTCATCTCATTGTTAGATTACGGATTTTTGTTGAGTAACTACTTAATTCGTATGTTGTTGAAATTTTAAATTATTTTGATGGTTCAAGTAATTAGAATGTGATTTGGCCTAAGCGTAGCTACCCCTCTTATGTTTTTTTATTATCTTTTAGTTGCTAATAGTCTTAATTGTTATTTGTTCTTTTCAAAATCGTGCAAGTTCTTATCGCATTCATTTAAAAGCATTGTACTCCTGCATCACTTTATCTCCTGAGTTCTCCTCCTGCTTTGGATTCTTCCTTTCTCAACAATCAATATATCTATAGTCTGCCACAATCTTCCCTATCATTCCGTTGCTCATCATCAGCATACCATAACTAAATAAGATAACATGAAAACTATAGATCCCCCTCCCTCATGATTCATTTACAACATATGCTAAATGTGCCTGGGAAACTAAGAGGCGTGATTATTTGGCTTAAAATTTTTAAGAAGGATTATAAATAAGACAAAAATGGCATGATACTTCTAAGGGGTTCTTGAAATGTAAGCGATGGGCATCTTTTATAGGTCAGCTAGGTTCAAAAAATGTCTTAAGAAGGATAACCTCTTTAAGATAGTTGAAGATGGCTTGCGCATGGTGGATAAATTCATATAATTACTAATGGAGCTTACTTAGTCGTGGAGATATGAATGGATCTCAAGTAGGCACGTAGAAGCAAAATGGCACTAAATTTCAATAGACACAAAACTACACATCGCTGGCTATATAGAATTAAGGAAGGGCAAACTTTTCAAAAATAGGCATAAGATGAAAAGTACTAGTTTAGCTACAAATCAATAACATAGCTGCGATAGTTCTGAATGCACATGATGCATTCCATGGTCGTGTTAAAATAAGCGTTAAAAGGCAAACTATGATAATTTACGATATGGAAATATTCATACTGATGTTTTGTGGTTTTGAGTCAGGGGATACAACCAAACCATAAAATAACCTTGTAGATCGATTTTTTTTCATTTTTCTAAAATTTTTTATGAATCTCTTAAGTTCTTTGTTTAGACAATTCAAAGCTTGTTCAAGATTGATGGAAGCTAAAGGCTCCCCAATAAAATAGGCCTTAGAATATGCACTGACCAGTAAAGATCTTTCAAATATTAGATGGTTGCACATAGTGATGAGAAAAAATGATCCAATCAATAGGCAAAAAGAATGTTGCAAAATAGATAAATCCCTAAGCTCTGCTGCTTTCTAAAACTTTTACATGGGAGCACCTACTTTCAACATGTCTCATGAGGTGGTTTGACGCAGTACAGAAATAAAGGCCAATAACAATGTCGCAAAGCAAAGATTTATATACAAATTTGGGTCCTTCATCATACATGATTCTCTGTGCAACATGGACGACCTATAATCACTTTAAAATCATGGTAATAGTTAAGAAGCTTAAATTAAGATCCTTTAATGGGTAGTTATGAGTTTAAAATATTCATAAATCGCTTGATTTAATCACTCCACTCAACTTACTTGGCCAATCTAAATTTTCATGCATTTAAAAGGTTAAAATTTTATTTAATTTTTTCTTATTTTATTTGTCTTTGTATTAACACTGTCGTTGCCAGGTCCCAAGTACTACATGAGAATAGTGGAGGGTTGCGTTAGGTAGTAGACAACCAGCGTAAAACTTGTCAAATAATTATGACATAAATCCTTTAAAATTTTGTGTTAATGCTAGGGCGTTCCCTAGAAGCGACGCGCTATATTGCATGAATACAACGACAAATGTGCAAGGGTCGCAACACCGGCGCCCAGGTGCAGTGTTAAATAGGCAAGGGTTCCCACATCAAGGACGAATGTGGGCTAAAGAAGCTAGTCCGTGAAACTAAAATTAAGATAGGAATTTGAAATATAGGATCCCTTCCAGGAAAATTAATGGAATTAATATATATTATGATTTATAGGAAAATAAATATTATGTGCATTCAGGAAACTAAATGGGTTGGAGAGAAGGCTAAGAAGATTAATAGTTTATGATATAAACTATGGTATTCGGGTGGGATTCGTACTAGCAATGATGTAAGTGTGATTATAGATATGAGTTTGAAGGATAATGTTATAAAAATTAACAGAGCTTTAAAGATTGTTGTTGAAATAATGATTGTTAATATTATAAGTGCTTATGCTCCTCAAGTAGGTTTGGATATGGATTCAAAATTAAAATTTTGGAATGACTTAGAAGAATTAATACAAAAGATACCTCTTGAATAAAGAATTTTTATTGGAGGAGATTTAAATGGACATGTTGGTAGAAAGATAAATGATTTTAAAAGCATTCATGGTGGTCATGGATTTAAAACGACAAATGAAGGTGGTAAGACCATATTAGATTTTTCTTTAGCTTATGATTTCTTAATAGCTAATATTTTTTTAAGAAAAAAGATGAGCATCTTATCACCTATAAAAATGAATATAGTAAATGCAGATTGATTAATTTCTTATAAGAAAATTAGATCGTTTAGATTGCAAAGATTGTAAAGTTATTCCGAGTGAAAATTTATATATCCAATATCGATTATTAGTTTTGGACTTTAAGATAAATAGGCAGAAAATAAAAAATAGAGTAAAATGATTTTTAGGATTATATGAGGGCATTTAAAGAATATTAACAAAAGTATTTTTTAGAATAATATTTTATATCTTAAGATTTTGTCTGTACATGAGAATGCTAATATTATGTGGAAAAAATAATAAGTGATATTAAGAATATTGCAAAAGAAGTGCTTGAAGTTTTGAAAGAAAAATCTTCTAATAGTAAAAATAGTTGGTGGTGAAATTCCAATGTGCAAGAAAAGATAAAAAATAAAAAGATTTGTTATAAAAATTATTTTATATATAAAAA